AAAAATTAAACTTAAATTGGAAACATTAGCATAAGATGTAGTATTCGCAAAAAATGCTAAGAAGCAATTATATCAGAAGATACAAACCTACAATTATTTCTAAACACAGCCGACATTTCTAAAAGAAATTCAATTCAGAATCATAAAATAATATTTTTCAAAATAAAATAGATAAATTCTGTAGTCTCTGATTTGGGACTGGGAGGAAATTTTGGACTTAAAAGTAAAGCTTTTATTGAAGAGGAAGAAATAGCGAAAGTTTGACTAAGAGCCGAAATAGAGAAATTTCGATTGAGAGCTGGTAAGGATAATCGCTGAAAAACGCCTTTACTGAATTGATTAGCCGTAGAAATGGGTTGAACCCGAGAATTGTAAGCAATGCGAAATTTTTAATTACTCTACTTTATTATACATATTTATAAATTCATATATAGACCCAGCTCGAGCTGATTGGAAATTGAAATTGGGAGTCCGATTGCGAAATTTTTAATTATTTTATTTCACTCATATACATATATCCATATATAATAAGCCCCTTTACGTTGCTCTTCACGGCTTTGCACAAGAGTCGGAAAGGCTTAGGAAGGGCGTAATCGGTTGTGCAGCTGTTAAGTAAATGAAATAGGTAACTGAACAATTAGACCACCTAGAAAAGCAAAGATTAATAAGCAGAGCTCTACTAAAGTGAGGGTAAATCCCACGCGATTAAGCTTAAGGAGCGTTTAACACATGCTTAAATGCTTTACTGAAATCAATATACCCGTATATACGCAAAGGATCAGAAAGGCATCAGTTAGCAGGAATGCAAAGCCAAGCTAAGCTGAACAGTTTATTGATTTGCCAAGCAGAGGTAACAATTTGTTTTGTAATGCCCCTACAACCCTTTTCTGTGTGGATTTAGCTAAAATTCTCTTGAAATCGCTCAGCTTTCAAATCGCAGTTAGTTTATTGTAGTTAGTGGAATAAGAAATAAGGATATTTTAATATTTGTACCCATGATTATATCATCAAGAGTATTTGTATACCATTTGTTCACATTTAAATCTAGCTTCTGGACAGTAATTTGCTTTCCTTTATAATTCTTCAAAATCGTTTTATTCATATTTACAAAAAAGGTTTTTAAATCTTCAAGATTCAGCTCAGAATGTGAAGAATCATGAGTAAACCTTAACCTGTTTAGGTGAACTTAAAACTTAAAACCGGGTCAGATAAAAATGGCTTCACAGCTTGTTCTTTTGTTTTGCTTCTTGAATTTGTATCTAATATTTTGGTACTCCTGCTGTTCCTGCTTCGATGCGTCGTCAGCTGTGACCAGCGAGCATTCCATTCGTTTTATCACATTTACAAGCAATTAATTAAATTTTTATCGATTAGCCGATGCGCCAAATGACACGCAACCAAACGGAAACGCGCCGACTGTTGCGTCTAGGAATATTTAAATTTTTCCACTTACCTCCACTGGAAGGGTTCGTTGAAGGGTTTATGAAGTAGGTGTGGCAGCCAAAGGTAGCAAGAACGACGACGACGACGACGGCATTAGAAAATTAGTTTAACGATGCGGGCGAGCACAGCTGGCGGCAGAAGGCGGGCGGACAGGCAAGTGCAACCTGCAGGCCTTCCATTCGATGCTTCCCAGGAAACCCAGACCAACTGAGAAAAATAAAAAAAAATAAAAGGAAAGATAGTTGGAGAAGAGAGAAGCAGAGTGAAATATAATAAAAATAATTCAATTAACGCGCGACCGCTCAACAACTAAATGGGCTACAAATTAGGGCCGAACCCACAAATATGTGAGAGCTGATGACAGGTCGAATGGTCGAGCAGCGGAAGGCAGGAAGGAAGGATGAAACAACCTGTGCCCTGCATTAGTTGCGCAGCGGATTAAGCGGGCCTCTGCCGCTGCCACTGCCTCGTGCTGCGGGTTTTTCACGGAAGCGAGCAGAGACTGACACTGACACTGCAAAAAGGACGCAATACTGCGTCTACCGAGTACTGGCAGCGGCGGGGGGTGCACAATACACACACACACACACACACACACACCCATACACTTTGAGGGCGTCAAAGTGTTAACAAGTGTCATGTCAAATTATTGCCGACAAGCTGTTGCCTCGTTCCCATTCCTCCTCATCCTCATCCACATGCACATCCACATTCTCGTGCTCGTGCGCGTTCTCATTCCAATCCTCCTCGCACGAGCTAAGCCAAAACATAGAAGAGCCTCTCTAAGAGGCAGCTGTTGCTGCTGAGACGCACTGCGGGGGCGACCGCTTGTTACCTTTTGTTACCTGCTGCCTCTGTTTGGTCGCTACAATCAAGCAAAGCAAATCCCCTATTATGGGCTGGACCTGGATCTGAAACGGCTCGTGCCGCCAACCAGATGCGAGCCAGCAGATAAACCTCGAGCTTACCTTAAGCGCTGCGGCAGACTACGGCCTCGAGATTAGAAACGATTCTAGCACTCGCTGATTAGTCTGGCAGAGCTGTTCAAAAATTGTGCAATTGAATAAATAATGTAATTTAAACATTTCTTAAAACACTCCTCACACATGGAAGAAATCAGTATTGTAGCTCTAGTTTCATTAAAAATGTTATACAATAAGAAAGTTTTCAATCTTCTTAAGAAGATATATATATGTATTTTATTTCCACTTAGCACTTATATAACTTTGATAAGATTAAAGAACTGTGTATAAGTAGATATAAGAGTTTTGAATGGGGAAAATAATTAAATTAGTTAATCAGATAACACAAATTACTTTATTTTTGGTTCAATATCTGGTACGTATCAATACGTATGCTCTACATTAAATTAATAGGATGTCCAATTTCAAAAAGATTTGAAGCGATTCTAGCACTCGCGGATTAGTCTGGCAAAGCTGTTCAAAAAATGTGCAAATGAATAAATAATGTAATTTAAACATTTCTTAAAACACTCCTCACACATGGAAGAAATCAGTATTGTAGTTCTAAGTAGTTCCAACGAAAATGTTAGACAATAATCAATCTTTAAATCTTCTAAAACAGATATACATATACATACTATGTATTTCATATCCACTTAAAACATATAACTTTGATAAGATTAAAGAATTGTGTATAAGTAGATAAAAATGTTTTGAATGGGGAAATTGGGATAAATTAGTTAATACAAATTACTTTATTTTTATACCCTGTACCCGTAGGGTAAAAAGGGTATATTAGGTTTGTGCAAAGTATGTAACATACAGAAGGAAGCATCTCCGACCCCATAAAGTATATATATTCTTGATCAGCATGACGAGAGAAATCGATCTAGACATGTCCGTCCGTCTGTCCGTCTGTCCGTCCGTCTGTCCGTCCGTCTGGATGAACGCAAGGATCTCAGAAACTATAAAAGCTAGAATAACCAAAGTTGGCATCCAGATTCTCCTAGGTCCGAGTAAGGACGAGTTTATGTTTTTTTTTTTAATTTCCCCCCCCTTCCCCCGCTACAGAATTTCGTCAATAGCGTCCACATTTCAAATGCTACCTAAACCAAACTTTGCACACATAATTTATATATAATTGTCTACTGTTGTTCAAAATTTTATTCAATTCGGTCAATTCTAAGAAAAGTTATTAGCAAAACAAATTCTCCCCAGTACAACCCCACCAAACTGCAGCAACAAGTTCGCTCTTCTTCTTCCTCTTTTTGCTGCTGCTATGGGCGCATATAACTCAGTGACGGAAGTTTACCTGGGTACAGGGTATTACACTGTCGGGCTTGCTCGACTGTAGCGTTCTCTCTTGTTTGTTCAATATCTTGTTCTATATACATATGTTCTACATTAAATTTGTAGGATGTCCGATTTCAAAAAGAAAAAAAAACTTATGCATACAGTTTTCACTCGAGTTCGTCATGAAATTCTAAGATTCCTAGCAAGATTATTCTTTAATATAAATTATATTTAATTTGCATGCAAATTATTTGTTGTTCCGATCTGTTGTAACAATTCATACAAGCTTATAGAAGATTAGTTGGTAGTTTCAACTTTAAGGATATCAGTTTCTAACTAATTTAAAAGGTTTCCATTATCCCACTAACCCATACTCTTTAGCGTGGTTGCATAAGCCTCCACTTTCTTTAAAGAGACTGACTTTATTTCACACCACATGTTCAATTTTCTAACATTCCTCTACAATATAATTAATTATAATGATATACAACTTATTCAATATATTCATACCAAAATCTTTGTTTTTGTATAGTTTCAAATTTTGAGTGAAGTTGAAAAATTCGATTACGCTTTTCGGGGCGTTTTTAAAAAAATAGTATAAATTGCGTGCAACCCCGATAATTAAAAAATTGTTGATCAGAATGAAGATAGTATTATCTGGAAGTTCAGTTTTTATTCCAGCTCAATTTTTGTATGCCGCATCAAGAGTTCAATTCAGATATCTCATATATATTATTTCAATATTTCAAGATATCCCAACTACTGCATCTGCGAGTATGACTGGTGCTTGGGTATCAGGTCGTCTTTAGAAGCCATTTAAAGTGTTAAGTCCTAGAAGTTTCAAGAACTTTTTGAGTATCTCGTGGACTTCTTCAATTGACCAGCAATTAGTTTTGATTTGTAATTGAATTCAATTTTCGCTCTTCATGCATTAATTCTTTAAAAAATGAGAATATGTTACTTTTTTTCTGCAGCATTTTATTTTTTTTAAATGTCTTATATTGAATAAATAAATAAGCAAAAAAAAATTATATGTTGGTATACAAAAACTACATAACAGCAGCGTGCCAAAAAAAATAGATGAGTAGTAAAAATAAATAAATTAAGACTAACTAAATGTTTATATACAGCAACGTGACTTAATTAACTCAAACGAACTGCAAACTTAAAAACTAATTAAGCGTCATAGTTAAGCGTTTTCCCCCCGTTTGTCAGCGCAGGCGCCTCCTCTGCGACTTTGGCTCTTTGAAGAACTCTCTCTCTCTCTCACTCTCTCTCTCTCGATATCTCCTTTGATTCTCGCTAGACGTAGATGGAGGGCAGTGCCAAGCCCACTTCAAAATAGCTGCGAGTTTGCATTTTGTAGCGCTTCAATGGCGACTCACTGGACCTGGTCGTGGTGGAGACTGAGGGAGCAGTTTGTCGCTTTTTGGCGTTCTCTCGACGTCGTTTAAGGGGTCGCACCGGTGTCTCGAGAGTGAAGGTATTATCTGGTATGTCGGAGTGCCCAGCAAGGATGGGTGTTGCTGCACTCTGCTGTGGCTCTGCAGATGCTTGAGGCGTTGGCATTTGCAGGAGCAGGCTGCGCCTGAGCTGCATTGGAGATGAGGGCGTCGGCGTCGCAGGCAATGGCATGGGAGGTAGGAGCGTAAAACTTAAATCACTTGCCGGATCATCGCCGGGCGCGTACGAGGGCGAGAGCACGGTCTGGCAGGTGGTCTGAAGCTGCTGCTTGACTAGTGTGCGTCGCCGTAGATTGAAGGATTTACGGGCCTTCTTTTTGCTGCTCGCATCCGCCTTGCGCGCCGAATCCAATATAGCATCGATGAGCTTATCTAGCGTCTGATCACCCATGCTCAAGGAATGCTGAGGTGTCGTTGGACGCACGGCCTGTAACTGTAACTGTGGCTGTGACTGTGGCTTTGACTGTTCTCGCTGCTCTATTGGCTGCTTCTCCAACGGCTGCTGCTCTTCCATTACGGCAACAAAATCCGGTTCCAGCTTGCGTTTTTTCAACGGCTTTGAAGCGGCAATGTAGCGCGGCTGCTCAACAAACGGATCGAGTGGTCCGAGCAGCCCTCGTAGCGCCAAATGCTGACCAGTGGGTAGTAGACTAGCTGATGCAGTACTCGGCGAATATTCCTCTTCCGCATACCTCGGCAAGGTGCTGGCGTACTGGACATGATGCACGCTGAGGCGACGCGGTGTGGTGGATGCCGTTGGAGTCGCTTCGGGCGTCACATTTCGTATATCTGTGAGCGGTGCCAGCACAAGCGGACTGTTGCGCAGCATGGGCGTGGAGGTGGTGTAACCCATCACTGGTATATTCTCTTTGTTGGCGATGGTGGCGCGACGTTGGCGCCGCAGCAGCGGACGCTGTCGCAGCTGCGCTGTTTGCGAGGCTCTCCCCACCATCGATGGCAACTCATGGAGTCGCTGCGCCGATGCAGTCCACTTCAGCATTTTTTGTCTTTGGCTTTCAACGGCTAGCTAGCTAGCTCTAGAATATTGTCGTAATTTTCTCGCACGACTGGGCAGACGAAACGCTCGTCTATAACTCTGCGGCTGCTTCTGCTGCTGCTGCTGCTGATGTCTCGTCACGTCTCGGCGTTTGCTGACAAACTGACCGTTCTCGGGGTAACGGGCTGCGTTTTATACCGGGCGCAGTCACCTAAGGGTGGATTGTAAAAGCACCCTGCCGTGTTTGTTACGTCGAAGGGCGCAGCAGGCTCGCTCTCTTGCTCTCTGGATCTTTGCCTCTGTCTCTCTTTCGCTCTTACACTCGCTCTCCCTCTTATCAGTCAACTCCCTTTGCGAGCACTGTCCGCTTAGGCGCTCCAAAGTAGGCTCCAATGTGGTCTTTGTCCCTCCCTTTTCTCACACTCCCTCTTCTGTTCTCTCACATATGTCGCCTTGATCTCTATCATCAGTCGTTTAGTTATTAAATTATTTTTTTTGTGTGTTGCCCTCAAGGAAGTGCTGTGTTCCCTTCTCCTCCCTCTCCTTTCCTTTCCTTTCCTCTCCTTTCCGTTCAGTTCCTTTCATTTCCTTTACAACTCACGCTAATTTCTATTCAAATGCCGAGGGTTCGACGCTTTCGATGCAGGCTTTTGCCATTTGCGTGCAACAGGCTCACACACTGTTGACACTTGTCGACCAGCACTAGTTAATTAACCAGGCTCTCTCAACTTGCACAACTTCCTGCCTGTTCTGGCCTCGCAGCTATTAATTGCGGCTCTTTAGCGGCCAAAATAATGTTTAATTGAAAATGTAAACTTCCGGCCAAGTGGTTGGCAATTGAAGCTGATCTCAGGCATTTGAAAAACGTTACAAAGGTCACAAGGAAGTCGTTCGAATTTTTTTATTTAAAAAAACATCGGAGAATTCGTAAACCGCTTTTAAAAAACTCTAAGCTGAGAATAAGGATGAGCTCCACAACGAACTTCGTTATTATGCTCTTTTTAAAAAAGATTTCTAATCCATAAAAATAAGCAAGAAAAAATTGAAGAATGTTTTTGGTTTTTTATAGAAGTGTTTAGTTGGGCAACATGCTTAATGTTTTATATAATCGTTATTAATAATTTGAACAGTTTATTCCAAAGCTATTTAAGTTTTTAATAAATACTAAATATGACCAATATATATTTGAATGTGTGTGCATGTCTGCTAGCAACAAAAGAAGTCTGTCTTATATCATAATTCTATAGATACTTTGAAAATACTTGCACATTTGTAAAAGGATCGATTTAAAGTCTAGCCCTAAATATTTATTTAAGATCCCTTATCTATTTTCGAATTGAAAAATTTCAAACTGTCGTATAATAATAATATTACGAAAAAAAATAAAACATAAATAAATCGCAAATAGTTAAATTCAATTCAAGATCTCGTAAAATATTAATTTCTCCGAGATGGATTTTAAGAATCTGCCTAACTAATTAGATCACACGCAAATCTCTATCCAAGAACAAGATCCTTTAATATTTAACATATTAAATGTCTTCCTGATGTACTATACTGCCCGAGCTCTTAATTGCTTTAAATCATTTTTCTCTAAAAGAGTAGCTAAAAATCTCAATAATTTAGCTTCTCATCAGTTGTTTGTATAGCTTAAGCATTCCCCCTCTCTATATCTTTAGAGAAAAATTTCTCCCACTTATAGGAGCATCAGTCATGGCATTTAATTCTGTTTTAAGTATCTACGTGAAACCTTTAGTCTGGCTTTGTTTTTGATTATCTTTCTCATATGATTTGTACCCTTTTAGCAGGACTTGCAATTCGCTTCACTTCTCAATTCTGAGCGTGTTGACATAACGACGCGTCGTTCCGACGTCTCATAAATTTCACACGATTTTGCGGTGAAAGTTGTTGTTTTTTGTTTATTTTTTTTGAGAATTCGGCATTCACAGAAACTAAGGAAGAAGGGGGTAAGTTAATTGAATGCTCTGCTCAGCTCTGGTTGTGTCGAAAAATTTCTCAACTTTTTCAACTCTTTTTTGCGAAAAATTATTTTGGTTTGCCAACAGAAGTAGAGGAAAAAAGGAAGGGTTTCGCATATTGGTTTTCGCTTTTATCCTTTCCTTTCATTTCTTTTCTTTTCTTTCGTTTCGTTTTTGTTTGGTTGCGGCTGCGGCGGCTGCTATTGCTTCTTTTTTCTGCTGTTTACACAGCCAGGACAAAAGGATTAAATGGGGTTTGTGGCATCGGCTAACGATGGCCCTGCCTCTGCCTCTGGCTCGGGCTCTGGCTGTGGCTGTGGCTCTCAGACCGTGTTGATTAATTTCACTTAACGATCATCTTTCAAATGGGGCGTGTCGACAAATGTCTCTCTTAATGAGCGTCTATGGCTGCATGCTCATTTTTCTTGCTGAAAAATTAGCATAAGCCGCACATTTTACAGTTTTATGCGGTTTACGCAAACAACATAAACACAAAACTCAAAAAAATCTCACACGAAACTACCCAAAAATCAATTTTCATTTTCAGTTTTTTTAATGCCATGATTTCACGCTTAATTTACGTAAACGAGGCGGCGCACAAAACCAACCAAAGGCCAGATGAGTGGACGATCGTGTCCTGCCTATGCAAATACTCGTACATCCTTAACGCAGGGCACTTTTTTAAGACCTTTCGAGTGAGAGCGGGTCAGAGAGTGTCTATGTGTGTGTGTGTGTGTGTGTGTGTGTGTATGTGCCTGCAAGAGAGCAGGCCATTATACTATACGAGAATATGCAAAGGACTACAAAGGACCACTTGACTTTCACTCTTCCGCTCACTACATCGCCGACTCCTTTATTTGATTCACATACTCTGCAAAATGCATAATACCTACTGAGCTGGGAGCCTATCTGAACATTCGATATGTAAATCCTTAATAATACAATAGAGATAGATGCAATATAGTTGCATTATATTGTGAACAGCAACTAAATAGTATATCCTATGTTTATTAATCAATAGTAAGTGTAGACAGCTTAAGAAACCTGAAAAGTTAGGCCTATACCATATAGCTGTAACAGAAGTTATAAATAATATGATCAAAAATTAGTGAATTCCTCTGAATTTGTTTAGTTTATAGAAGTTTGTTTGTTAAGTTTAAAAGAACCTAATGGTAAGCAGAACTTTTAACAAGTTAAAGAAATCATAGAGTTAAATTTTGTTAAAATTCTTCCTCACATCGCCTTTTCCCCCGACTTAATCCCTTAGTATGTATTTTCTTTTGCCAAACTTGAAGAAATGGCTCGGTAGCATAAAGATTTTCCAACAATGGAGAGCTGGCATCGAAGCTACTGAACATGGCTGGTAAAGGTGTTTCGAGCTAAAAAGGGGACTTGTGTGTAGATAAGTGAGGATAATTGCTTCCCCATTTTTGTGTTCTTAATTATACTTCTGGGACTAGTATAACAAATTAAAATGCACTTTTCTCAATGTTTATATTAAATTGATTGATTAGTTGGATCGACTGATTCCATGTTTGAAATTTCGACTATTACAGTACCACTAGTACGCGCCCACAAGATTTGTGATACATTTTGGGTAGGAATGGAGTTCCAAGCATGTCGTACTACTACCTTATTTATTACTTATTAATCCACAGATTTTTAATTGGAAGGAGATGTGCTGTCTGTGCAGCCCATTTCTCTTATACTGACACAACTGTTTGTTACTTGTATGATTCGGAACATTATCCTGCTGGAACATCCAAATCAGTGAGAGACCGACTGACGAGACCCAGCTCCATCATAAAGTACGATTATCGATTCTCTACTTGGCGAGTATTAGTAACTTAACTTATTACTTAAGCACCTCCATAGTTTTAACAGGACGAGCTCTTTTTCGCAATTACCTTTCAATGCAGTACCCAGCAATACAAACCAATTAGTTATCTGCTCTGTCTATTTTAACAATTATCACTCGGCTTAGTGTCCTAGGATGAAAATTAAGTTAATAGGTATACACAAATAAGACTGCTCACTCAGATGAGTATCTATTAATGGCACAGGCAAGGCCAAAGCAGCGTATTCCAAAGTCGAATGCAATCGAAAATGTCGCTTTGCCGCGGCTCCACTCTGATTTGCATGCTCAATGGGCTGTGGCTAATGGTTCGTCGCTTTGGCGCATAAACTTTTCGATTGTTAAGCTTGGCCAGGATTTGTGTTTCTGCGCGACTATTGCCACATTAGCCCATTACGAGTATTATGCTGTTGATCCCGATCCCGATCCCGATTGCAGTCCCCTTTTTGCATACACAGCCCTTTTTAGTTTCGTCCTCTGGTATTGTTTATGCGAGTGCGATTTTTGATTAATGCGTTTGTTTGGCATTGTGTTGGAAATTTATCGATATTTGATTTGCTGCGCTCGCATGCAAAACAAAAGTGTAGCAAATGTTTGCGTTTTGCATAAGTGAGCTGCTTTGAAAGGGAAAAGGGGTACAAATGTACATACATATGTATGTAGATGTACATAGTATATCTGTTTGAAGTGCATTGTGTGGCGCGTGTTGTGGAAAACAACAGAAGGACTGCACGCCCACAAGTCGGCCTGTATGCCAGTCCTACTTGCCAAACGTATCTGTAGGCTGCTGCCTTTCAATCACGTGTGGGGCAATTGACAACACAATTCCTTTGCCCCTTTTGCCGCACACATAGCCATAGTGGCCTCTCTGATGGGATATTGTGAATTGTGAGTTGGCAAAAATTTGAGAAAATGTCATGTTTATGCTCATAACTTTCAAACTCAAAAGTCGACCAACTGTCAACTGTCAAATACGAGACCATTTGGTAACAAAAACGCAATCCTGCAGCAACAGCAAACGGTGGGACTGAGTCTGACCCTGAATCGTCAAGAAGAAAAAAGACAACAACAACAAAAATCAAATGGAATGGCAGGAAGGATGGCGAAAAGGGAACAGAACTGGAACATAACATGCCAAAAATTGCAGCAGCCAGAAGATGTTGATGAGA